CTCGGCCCTTCCTCCTCAGAAGCCCAGTCGGCGTGGTGCCCCTGGCCTGGCCCGTGGCTGGGGCTCCCCTCYGAGCCTCCTCAGCTGGGCACGGACTTGCCAGTTCCTTCCACCCTCGTCCCCCGACCAAGGGCCAGGACCACTGGGCAGAGCCGGCGGCCGCCTGAGGAGCAGGGGGAGYGCAGGGGGAGGAGAGCAGCTGGGAGACTGCGGAAGTGACCCCACGAGCAGAGAAGCGCCCTGCGTCCCCTGAACCCGGAACCTTCCAGGGTCCCCTGGCTCAGGACAGGAGAGGTCCAGGACCTGCAGGGCCCTGGGTACATCCTCGTGAACCCTCAACCCTCACCTCTGAACATCCCTTCCAAACAAGGTGTCCTTCCTGCCACGGCCACGCAGCTCCGGAGCGAGGAGAAGGGCGTCCCCGCCCAGCGCCCGCAGCCTGTCAGTCACCRGGACCAGTGTCGGCCAACCCTGTCATTACCTCACGAGGACTCCAATCACGCCTCCTGTCCCTCTGTGGAGTCACAGTCACTCAGCGTCAACAACAGGGGCATATGACACCGCAGCCTCCACCAGCCTCCTGCTCCAGGGAACCCCAGGAAATGCGCCTGTGGGGGGCTGGTCGGGAAGGCCCGTGGCCTCCTCCCCCTAGAGAAGCCCACCCCTGCTGACCTCAGGGGTCTATTTTGCTTTGGGGCTTTTGCAGGGGCGAGGCCGACGCAGGAAGAGAATCCCCTGCCCGTCAGCCTCTCCCTCCCCAAGCATGTGAGTCTCCCCAGGACCTGTTCTGGCTTCTGGACAAACAGGGAGGACCATGATGGACCCCCCAGTGGAGTCTCCAAGATGCCCACCCATTCCTAACAGGTGTGAGCCTCTGAGGGCCACTTAAGGTCCCCAGGCAAGAATAGGGACAGCCAGAGCAATTTGGCCAGATCCAGGGATCAGGGTGGTGAGCTAGCCCCCTGGAGTATAGGGTCAGAGTGGTGAGCTGGTCTCCTTGCAGGAGGGGGTCAGGGTGGTGAGCTAGCCCACTGTGTTGAGGGGGTGGTCAGGGTGGTGAGCTAGCCCACTGAAGGGAGGGGTCAAGTGGTGAGCTAGCCTGCTGG